TTTTTTGTACTTAAAAATTTATTACCAACAAAATTTTAAAGTTGTGAAAATGTTTTCGGTAATCATAAGAAATAGCGCATCAAATGAGCATAAAATACGGTTTCAAATATTGAATAACACAGCATTGCAGTTCAAAGAAAACACAATCGAAGAAGATACAAAAAATGTTAAATAACTCGGCACAAAACTATTTCAGTTAGAGTAACATGAAATTTAAAAGTAAAACAGAAACAAACAAACATGGAATGACCTTAATAGTTGTTGCAAAACCTGTTGAAACTACATACGAATGGATGGAAAAGGAAATGGCAGCGAGAAATTTATTAACGAAATAACTAAAACAAAAATTTAGCACTATTATTGGTTTAACAACAGGTTTGACATATTTGGTCACCAAAAATATCACTTTTTTTTTTTAAAATAATTTAACTAATATTGAGAAAGTTAATTCGCTGGTGTTCACAAAATAATATCACCCTTATTTTGTCCATTGCCTTGCTAAGCTAAGACAATTTACCTCTCCAGCGCTATTCGCGAAAAAGAAGGCAGGCAACTCTTTGCTTTTGCTTAAGAAGTTGAATGCAATTTTAAGATTTTGTAGTAATAGCTTAAAAAGTTTTAACACTTTTGGATAAGGGCTGCCTGACTGTCCAACACAACGCAGATTCATAAATTTGCTAGCCCCAGTTTTAACATTACCCGGTTTTAATCCATCTGTGTACCAAACCTCCCCATTAGGTTTGGTGTATGGGTTTCCTGCATTCCAGAAAGCTCGATCTGCAATGTGTACCTAAAATTTCGTAGAAATTACTTTTTTGGAACTATTGCATCGCGCATTTTCAATTTGGAGTCAGTGAATTTCAGTAGGACCTTCATGCGGCCCGGTCATATTTTCAATTTCACGATCGGAGCTGTTTAGGATTCTCAGGGCCTCGGTAGTCGCTTTCTTTTCTAGTAAACTAGGAAAGGCAGGTATTCTAACCAAGGCATTGAGTGCATCAACAGGGCAGGTCATCATCGCCTCTGTTATGTCAAAGCAAATCAATCGGTGCAATTTTCTTGGTTTTATGCTTGCAGCTCCTTGTATGGGCTTTACGACTGTATTAAATGACCAATAGGTCATTTTGGGAGTAAGGCCCCATGTTTTACCAGAAAGTCTTGAACAGGGAAATAAAGCTTTCAACGCATTGTTGATGAAAGCATCAAAGTGAGCATTCCACTTAAGTGTTTTATCAAGAGTTAACCCCAGATGGTTTGCCTCACTGGAAAATTCTATTTCTGTGCCGCTTAAAGTAAGTTTAGTCATAGATAACTTTCTCCTTCGTGGTTGCTGATAGTTTCGTCATGCAGCCCTCTTATGCAGATTATCAGATCATTCTTGGCTGTTCAGTGGGGAAGGCAGTTCGTCTATAACCATAGTCCACAAAAGGGTAGAGAGACGCTATAAAGTACGAGTATGGCTGACTTCCAAAACGTATCAATACAATGTTTGGAAACTGTTATACTGCGATATTCAAACTGTTTGTATATGCAGATTTGCGACACATTGCAACCATATACATTGCATATTTTAAATATTCAATATAGCAATGAACAATTTTTCCGAATTTTCCATATTTAAAACACCAATGCTAACCAATAACAAACGAAGCATCAACTTTGTTTCTGATGCGCTGATTGCCCAAGCGATACGTTTCGATAACTTATCGGCTGCGTTTTGGAACAGTATACATTGTCAATATTTTGTAGTTCGACGTTATGGAACCTTATACTTTGTACGTATACAAAGCAATTGACGTTTTGGAAGTCAGCCTATATAGCAAAATAATATATCGAATAGAAACAAGTAATTTTTAAGCAAAAAAAAACGACTTCAGTTCTCATAAGTATAAAAATTTAAGAGTACTGTTAATTTTTTTCATGATCCAATGATCGGATCTAAACCAAATTAGTGAGAACCACCTCCTTAAAAAAGATCGGTTAACGTCGTACAAAGTTATGAGGTAACAAGCGTACATAAAAGAAAACATATTCCAATGAATTGATAACCTCCTCCTTTTTTGAAGTCGGTTAAAAAGCAAACAATAAATCACGTTTTAATTAAATTTTATAAAAAGTCAAAAAACCTAATTGTAAATTTATTAATTTGCAAAAATTATACATTTAAATGTATTCAAATTTCAAAACCGACTAGCTATTAAACCGTTTTACCCATAAATATTGTATATACACACATACATATGTACATATTTTCGAAAACTGAAAAACAAAAAATCTCAAAATCTATTTTTAACGAAACGATTAATGAAAAAACTTGAATTTTTCTCATAGCAACTGTTGATCCATTCGCTACCGCTACTTCCGTAATACCTAGTGTGTAAACTGATCCTCCTTGTTGCCAACAACATCTTGATTGCCATAGCTGAGCGCTGTGAGTTGAACCTTTTTCCTTTCATTCTTCGCGCTCGCTCCCTCTGCTGCGCTCCTGCTCTTCTATCTCCCTGTCCGCTTCACGCACTGTTGATTGTTTTTCTTATTCCACTGCTGAAATTTTGTTTTTGTGTGTTAAATTTGCCAGCTGCGCCGGGTGTTCAATGTCAGCGCGAATGTGCAATAACAACAATGAAAAACAACAACAGAGAAAAACAATTTAATGTAGCAGCCGTCTTGCTTCGCCGACCTCAAAGACAAAGGCAAAGAGGAGATGCTTGAGGAAAAAAAAAAATTAAAAAAAGCAACAGTAATAGCGCCAGTGGCAGTGGCAGCAACAGCAACATCTGAGTGCTGAGTGTGGTACGAGCCAGCCGCCCATAAGTAGTTGTTTGGATTTGGAAACACAACAAAGAAAAAAAAAACTACGCCTAAGAACAGCAGTGCATGTTTTCGAATTGTGTCGCCTTGCTCGAAAAAGGATAATCGAAAGCAGCGCCGAACAGCAGCGGCCTAATAACAAAGCAATATAAAAACAGTTAGGTAATGAAGTCATAGAATTATTTTTAATAAAAACAACAACAAAAACAGCCAGCCGCACTACAAACACAAACAATTTTCTTAGCGCTCAATACCTATTTATTATTATGGCTCCCATTATTGCTGTTGTTATTGCGCCGTTTGCTACGCATTCAACCACCACCGCGCTGCTGTAGAAACACACATACATATTCTCGTATTTGCGCCGCTAACAAACATGCGTCGCAGTAAGCTTTCAAGTGTCTTTTGTCCTTGGTTATTTGCCTGCTGTCTCCGCTCTTCTGTTCTAAAAGCAAACTCACACACTTTGCTTCTTGCGAACTCACCTCGCAGTTGCCTCTCTTTATTACGTCTTACTTTTCGTCCT